GGGGGGGCAGGCAAGGAGCCGTGGAGACCCTCCCATCATGGCCTCTTGGGTTGGGGGGGTCCCCAAGGCTTCTGGTGGTCGAGGAGGGGGAGGCATGCGGATCCCTTACCATCTTGGGGTTTGGGGAAGACGGAGGTGGGCCATGTGTTGTGTCCTGATTTTGCAAAAAAAAGTGCAGATCCTTTGGGTGTGTGTGTGTTGGTGGTGGGGGGAGAGAGTTGCCACCCTGCAGAATCAAAGGGTAGATTAGCATGTTTGGGGGTTTTTTTGGGGGGGGAAATGATTTGGGGGTGTATGTTATGGGCAGAGGGGAGACCTGCTTGGTTTGAGGACATGTGCCAGGGCACGAGGGATGATGTTCTTCCTGGTTTTGCAAGGGAGACCCTGCTGGCCAGCCCTCGCTGGAGGTTGGTTGCCCCTCGGGAGCATGGTTTGAAAAGGCAGAAAGGCTGCCTGTTTCCCTCCCCGCTTTCCCTCCCTGTTTCTTTTTCTGGAATAGGTTCACCCCCACCCTCGCCCTACAAATCTAATTTGCTTTGTGTTTGGGAGAGAGGAGCCCGCGAAGAAGCTGCGCTCAGATCTGTGGTTTGCTAAACTTGCATCAACAGTTCTGTCCTTCCGTTCCACCCAGTTTTAAAAAAAATATCAATGGGAGAGCCAAGCTTTGAATGTAGTAAGAGAGAGGAAGATGTTCAGGTTTCCTGAATGAGCTGTCCCTTTCCTGCTTCTCACCCTCCAAAATAAAATAAAATAATAAAAATTTAAAAAGCTGGGGGGGGGAGGTAAAAGCCATGTATAGCTAAAGGGATTCAGCTGCCAATGGCTCAACGCTTGCCTATAGGCCTTGCTGTAGGATGTCTTTGAACCCTGTGTGTGTCTACATGGTGTAGCTAAACATCCGTTCACCTTTCCCGTTGGTGCCCAGATATGGTCAAGTGAATTCTGTACCCGGGAACAAAGGGAAATGCAAATAGAACACTTGTAGATTGTTCTCACTTTTCCTGTTGGCTGCCATTCCTTGGGCGCCTTTGGAGCAGTCATTCTTCTCCTCTGTCTTGAACTTTTTTGCTTCAGAGTTACTCAGCTTTCAGTGGAGAGGGAAAGGCGCCTCCCCCCCCCCTTTTCTTTCTTTCTTTTTTTTTGCCAGGATGCAACAGTTGCACTGCCTTGAGAGAGAATACCAGGAAACTTGGCTGGCTTGTTGGAGGAGTGCAGGAAAAGCTCCATTTTGACCGCCTCTCGGTCTTTCTTCATTCTCTCTTCCTGCGCGAACCCAACCCAATGACTTGCTCTGAATGATATGCAGAAGAAATGGGTGGCATGTTTTCTACATGTTCGGGTGGCGAGGTTCAAATGATTCACTGGCTTCCATCGAGGCAGTAATGTTTTTGAAGTTTTCGCTCCGGTCCATCTTTTATGGTAGTTAGTTTTGAAGCTTACTCTTAACCAAGCCAGCCTGTTTAGGTCTCAGGATTGGTGATCTTTCCTTGTGGGTGGGTGTGGGCGGACAGGAGTTGTTCACCAAAATGACTTCCATGTGAATCAAAAGGTTTAACTTTCTGTGGCTGTCGTTTTTTTGATGTTGAAACAGAAATTCCTAAAAATAAGAACATCCGTTGTTAGAGAAATGCATCACACAGTTTCCTTCCTGGTGCCAAAATTGACTAAGGAAGCAAACTTGATCCGTAGGAAGACTGGAAATCTGCACATGCGTGTCTTGACTGTTGCACATGTTTGGAAGTAATGAAGTTCTGAGAGATATGAGCAGCTTGTAGAGAAACTGGGTTGGTTTCTGTGCTGGACAGATAGATACGATATTTGAGTTAACCCTTCTTGACAAAAGTGTGTGTGTTGATGTATTTGGGGGTGGGATTGAGAAGTAGGTGTGGGTTTTTCTGCATTTCCTTCTGCTTTGGAACTGGGCGTAGAGGGATCTGCCTTGCTTTCCCATACCAACAATCACTGTTGACTAGAGTGGAATGTGAAGACGGTGCAGCCAAGTTTAGGAGGCAGGGCGTGGGTCTGGATTTATTTTAACTTCTGTTTTGTTTCTAGGAGCCGGCGGTGGCGGGAATGACATTCAGTGGTGTTTTTCTCAGGTGAAAGGGGCTGTGGATGATGATGTAGCTGAAGGTAAGAACAAGCTCTGGATCTACTTAAATTGCATTGCTAATAGATGTTTGATTTTTGATGATGCAGTTATCTGAATACCCCCGCCCCTTTCCCCTTGTAATGCCTTTGTCTTAACAGAGTCTTCGTATTTCCTCTCTCAAAGTACCCGGCAAATCATTTTTTGGCTGAAATAATACAGTATTTTCAGTCATCTCATTACAACGAGAAGGCTTGGGATACTTAATTTTGTGTTGGTTAGAAGAACAGTGATATAGACACTATGGAAATGCACGTGAGAAAGGGTTTATTAATCCTTTTTTGGGAAGTGTTGGAATCTGAAATCTGGTTCCCTTGAATTTTCTTGAATGCAAGAGTAAGTGATACCTTTTATTCAACCACATTTTAAAAAAAACGAATAGCAAGCTTTTTCCTGTGCTTGGTCTTGCCGGCCCAAGGTGCTGCCACCTAGGTCCAGATGTCATGTGAAATGCAAGAGTGTGCACCGTAGTATAACGTTTGGTAACAAGAACACGTCTATTGGTGGAGGCTTTGGAACGTTTGAAAGTCATATGGCTGAGATCTCATCCATTTTTTCAGGGTTGCTGAGTGAATGTGGTCTCATCCAAAGCAAAGGACAGCATCTGCTCTGTCTGCAATAAGACTGACCAACCTGTGTTTCCCTGGCTGCCAAGACTTCCTTCCAAACCCAAAGGCTCCAAGCTTTAGCATTCAATAAGAGTTTAAGAATATGTGTTTGCAAAATTATGATGTATTGGCCTTTCCCCAACGTAGCGTTTTTAGGATGTGTTTGACTTCAGCTCCCGCAATGCCATAGGCAGCATACTTACTGTGGAATTCTGGGAGTTGTAGTCCAAATGATGGTACAGCTTGGGCTGAACCAGTTGTCTTGCCCTAATAGGAATAACTTCTCTTCCTGAAGGATGCAGGAGAGGCATGGAAATGCCATTTAAAGCACCATTTCTGGGGAAGGGGTTGCCTTTCCCCCCCCTCCTCTGTAACCTCATAGTTGAGATATTTTTTGTGCATTAAGAACAGGGCTCAAATATGCTACTCTTAATTTTTTTAGAAAACAACTTTCAAAGATCTGCCTGCTGTTCTCCTTTTAAAAAAGGGTGTAAACTATTATCTCTTCATATTGAACTTTTTAACCATTTTGGTGTTTGTTGTTGGTTGCATTGCTTTTAATGGATTCCTTGTTTAATTGGTGTCTCGAACTGATGCTGTTAAGACCTTGTTTAATTTATTTCTCTTTTTTCCTTCTGCTGATGTTACTGGCTTCCTTTAGCACTTTTTTGTGGTGGAAAGGGATAATGTAATTAAAAAATTAAACAAATGGAATTACTCAACAGAGCAGTGACATTTTCATGATATCTTAGCGCAGCTCAGTGCTTCCCACTAGCATCCCATGGAATGGAGGGAGTGAAATGCCATCAGAGCACGAGGAGGCAATGCTCCTGCATGTTAAAGTGATGAGGGGGACAACTTTACACAGGGCTGTAAATTTCAGTGCCAATTTCAGTAAATTTTAGTGCAGAGGTAGGGAATGCATGAGCTTCCTGCTGCTGCTGATCCACTTGGTCTTAGCCAAAAGGTCAAATCCCACTTGCTGTTCTTGAACTACAATTTTGATCATCTCTTACCCTTAGCTGTATTGTTTTGGAATTGTGGGAGCTTGTAATTCAGGAACATAAGGAGAACTGGATATTACACATCCCTTATGTAATGCATGGCTCTTTCTGTGGACCTTCAGCTGCGTAGAGTTTCTAAGACTTGTTTTGTTTGGCTTGGAACGTGGCCTGCTTGTGCTGTCCTTTTAGCTAAAGAGTGTTGCCCCCACACTGTTGCTCTGGACAGATGCCATGTTGGATGCTATCTTCTGTCACTGGTATGAGACAATTGGGCAGGGTCCGTGCCTAGCTCCTTAAATCCTTGGGCTCTTCTGATGTGTGGGTGCTGGGCGTAACTGGTCAGGACTAGACCGCTTTCAGAACTGATGCTAAAAACACGCGCCATTGCTTTAGAATGATTTTGTGTTTCAGAGAAACTCTCGTGATTCGTATGGTGTGGAGAATAGCTCATCATTTGGACCGTTGTCTGTTTGAAACAAAAACATGACTGTTTAAATTGGAACAAACTAAACTGGTTGTGCATTGTGTTTTTGGAAGACATGCAAGTCAAAACGATGAGTATTGTTAGTTACCAGGAATCATAATTTAATAGAGAGGAACATAACAGGAAGATGTGTGTGTAGAGTTCCACATGAGAAAGAGTTGGCTGTGGTATGCCTTGGAACTAGCACCGTTAGAAATACAGGAAGAATATTGAGCGGGAAATCATTCGGTTGCAAAACCTGTCACCATTTCTTGACTCTAGTTATACAGCCTAATCCTTTGGATGTTTATCAAGCAGGAGAAAAAAAACCTGCAGGATTCACTTGGTCTGGTACCCACGTAAGCATACTGGGAGACAGTGTGGTATAGGATTTATTATTGCGTTGGGATTGGAGAGATCCAGGTTTAAGTTCTGACAGAGCTGTGAAACCTCTGGGTAAATTTGGGTCGGTCACTTTTTCCCCCACAAGGTTGTTGGGAGGATGAAGAGTGCCTAGATTTCATGCATAGACCATGAATTTCATTTTTGCAAAAGCTCCCGGTTAAATGTCTGGTGTCTCCATTTGAATGCTGGGTTAGTAGGGGTTGGAAAGATTTCTGCGTGTAAAGATTGTGGCCTTCCACAATCTCTGATCATTGGCAATGGAGGCAGGAGCTTCTGGAATTTGAAATCAAAGCTTCCGAAAGGCTGAAGATAGAGAGCTATTGCAGTACAAGACCCTCCTGCCAAGTGTTACTGGATGCTTCTTGCTTTTCTCTTCTTTTGATGCAGATGTTGGTATACCGTGCATTAAGTGTTGAGGTGCTCAGCTTGTGTTCTGCCCCTTACGTTATATTAGAGACCTGGCAGTAGAGATCTCACTTGTGGATGAAACACATGTCAGTGGTCCCCGTAGCCATCAAGACATTGGGAACAATGCTGCAGAGTTTTATAAAATAATATAATCAGCTGAAGTAACACCATCAGACCTGTGGAAACCTGCAGTATTAGGAATAGTGTACATGTTACACCAGTATTTTACTAATATGCACACAAGTTAATTCTGGCAGTATTTTACTAATATGCACACAAGTTAACTCTGGCTTATGGCAACTCTTTTTACGGTTTTCTAGGAAGAGAGTACTGGTTGACTATTCCCTTCTTCTGGGGGCATCCCAGCAAGAGAGTACTGGTTGACTATTCCCTTCTTGTGGGGGCATCACAGCGTGACTGTGCAACTTGCTCAAGGCTACACAGACTGGTTCTTTTCCTAGGAAGCGTGGCTGTCGTTTAGTCATTAAGTCATGTCTGACTCTTCGTGACCCCATGGACCAGAGCACGCCAGGCCCTCCTGTCTTCCACTGCCTCCCGGAGTTGGGTCAAATTCATGTTGGTCACTTCGATGACACTGTCCAGCTATCTCATGCTCTGTTGTCCCCTTCTCTTCTTGCCTTCACTCTTTCCCAACATTAGGGTCTTTTCCAGGGAGTCTTCTCTTTTCATGAGGTGGCCAAAGTCTTGGAGCCTCACCTTCAGGATCTGTCCTTCCAGTGAACAATCAAGGTTGATTTCTTTCAAAATGGATAGGTTGTTCTCTTTGCGGTCCAGGGGACTCTCAAGAGCCTCCCCCAACACCACGATTCAGAAGCATCAATTCTATGGTGGTCAGCGTTCTTTATGGTCCATCTCTCACTTCCATACATCACTACAAGAAAAACCATAACTTTGACTATGCCGACCTTTGTCAGCAAGGTGATGTCTCTGCTTTTTAAGATGCTGTTGAGGTTTGTTATTGCTTTCCTCCCAAGAAGCAGGTGTCTTTTGATTTCATGATTTCGTCTTTTGATTTTGATTTGAAGCCCAGGCAGATACCTAAATCACTGTGCTATCCAGGCAGCTCCATAATAATAATACTTGTTGCATCTTGCTTAATTGGAATCAGTGTGGTGGAATGTTGGGCATTCGGGTAAAACTAAGCAGGAGGCCCAAATCTGTGACTCCCAAGCTTCTCACAAGTTGGGGGGAAATGGGAGTATTTCTTAATATATGGGACACTGAGCTCTTTGGCTTAAAAGGGTGATAAAAATGTAGTAAGTATGACTTCTGTTGTGAAGAAAAAAGAGAAATAATGTAGCAATTTAAGGATATGACGTTTATTTCACTGTGAGGTTTCATGGAACTAAATCTACTTCTTTGGATACAAAGTGTGCAAATAGAGTGGTGCCCCGACTTAAAAATGTCCTGCAACACGACCATTTCGAGTTGCAACCAGCTCTGGCTGCAAAATTTTGCTTCGACTTGCGGCTGGAGCTTTGAGTTGCAGGGAAAAAGCCAGGGAATTCAGATAACCATTGGGGTGAAAGAGCTACAAAGTAGCTCTTTCGCCCCAATGGTTAGAGTGTGTGCGTTGGCGGCTCTTTCGTCCCAGTGGTTAGAGTGTGTGGGTCGGCCGAGGCTTCGGACTGCCTGGTGCTGCTTTCTGCTCCTGGGTGAGTGCATTTACAGGGTTTTGCAGGGTGGGTTTGGGTTGGGGGGTTATGCTTCCGTGCTGTGGTGTTGTTTTCTTTTTGGGTGATTGTTTTTGCAGCCCCATCGTTACAGGGTTTTGCAGGGTGGGTTTGGGTTAGGGTTTTTTTTTTTTTGCAGCCCCATCACATTCCAGTGGGGCTTGCAGTATTTTCTTTTTTTTTCTTAAATGCTGGAACGGATTAATCCTGTTCCCATGCATTCCCATGGGAAATGATGCTTCGATTTACAACCGTTTCGCCCATGGGAAATGATGCTTCGACTTACAACCGTTTCGAGTTACGCCGATCTTCTGGGACAGATTATGGTCGTAAGTCAAGGCACCACTGTACTGTGTTCACCATATTTATACATATTCCCACGACCAGTCCAGGATACTGCTA